CTAAGAAACTAACTAAAATATATTAGCATATTTATATGCATATTTTTAATAAAATTAATAATATATATATATGATTATTTATTAATATGATATTCATATTAAAGCACTGATTTTCTTAATTTTTATTTTTTCTAAGTTAAAAAAATACATTTCATTTTCATCAAATTAAATAAGACATTAATGGAAAATATTTGTGCTACAAAATAGTTATTTAATAATATTATGATATTAATATTATTTTTTCATAGTAAAAATAAAAAAAGAAGATATGCTATCTTACTATTAGAGTACGGTATATAGATTATGTTGTAATAAATTTGCTTTCTAATCATATAAAATAAAATTTGTCATAAAAGAAAAAATATGTTATGGTTTTTGGTACAAAATCGAATAAGCTAAAACTGTTAATATATAAATCGAAGCAAACCAAAGTAAATATAGTATTAATAAGATAACTAATTTTTATTAATTGAAATTTCAAAAAATCAAAAAAGTTGAACCGAAACCGAACCGACATCCGATTTGAAAACTCCTATGAGTATGACTATATGACAAACAATCATCGATAACCACATATGGAAATGTAGACCTATTGAAAGAAATCCAGAATATTTTTTGAAAAGAGTCAGCCCAGCACCAGCTGGAGAGTTCTACGCCAATGGTATAATTATGGCGCATAGAAATATAGGATCATGAGAGATTTATATCTTCACAAATAATAAAATCAAATAAAGAAGCTGTTGGAAAAAAACGCAAACCAACCACCCACTTTTGCAGCTTTTGTTATCATAAAGTCTTTCACCGACACACGCGCGCACTTCCGTTTACTATTTGTTATCCTTAAAATGCTCAGATTATTCTGCCCTTTTGCTCTCTCTACGTTTATTAATTTGTTTCTTGCTATTCATAAGAATCTTCACACAAAAGCACACAAAGAGTGGTGAAGAAGTAGCTACTCTACCTCTTCTTCTTTCATTTAGGGTTTTCATTTCTTTTTCTGGAAGGAAACTATGTTGCAAAGATTCGTCGTCTTTCTCATTGTTCTCCTGATTCAGTCTTCTTTTCTTTTTGAGATTTCCTCTGCTCTCCAGGTAAGCAAAAATTTCATCAAATTTACAACACTTACCTTTGTGTCTGTCCTTTGTTCTAACCAAACACAGACGATCTTTGTCTCCATATTGCTAATCATCAAGTACTAAGAAATGGGTCGTGTGATGATCTTAGATTCTTAATTTGAAACGATGAAAAATCAGAATCCTTAACCTTTTTTCTGGATTTATTTGGTTTTGCATCGTAGGAAGGAAAAACATGTATACTAAACGACAACTGTGACGCTGGGTTACACTGTGAAACATGTCTAGCCAGCAATAATTTGAGACCCAGATGCTCTCGAATCCAACCCATCAACCCCATCTCAAAGGTTCACACTTTTTCACTTTATCAATTTATAATCACTTATATTGACTAATCATATTAAAAAAAATAATCCAATTGGTCTATATCCATAAAGGTAAAGGGATTGCCTTTCAACAAGTACGCATGGTTAACAACACATAACTCGTTTGCAAGATTGGGGCAAGTGTCAAAAACAGGTTCTGTGATTTTGTCTCCTACTAATCAGCAAGATTCTGTCACAAGCCAGCTCACTGTAAGATTCTTCTCTCCAAATTCGTCACAAAGTCTCAAACTTTAGTAAATAAACAATTCTTCCCTTTTCTTTTTGAAACTCTAAACAAACAATTCTTCCCTTTTTTTTTTGAAACTCTAAACAAACAATTCTTCCCTTCCTTCGGAGAGTGACATCTAATAAAAATTAGAACCATACAAAGAAAATTAGCAGGTGTGTATTATACTTGGAATGATAAAATTGAAAATAGTACAAATTTTGGTCTTTTAGGGGCAATAGATAAAATTTGAATTTGCTCCAAAAAAAAAAAAAAAAATTTGAAAAGTTGACCAAATTTTTTTTTCGAATGCTATGTACAAATATTGCATTGCCTTTGCGCATGACATGCACAAATCGAGGTCATTTAAAAAAAGCACCATTTTAGTTATATCTTGGAAGTGTGAATCTTATTTTAATCATCCAAAAGTGTGGAAGTTATGGTTTGGTAAAAGCACTGTTTATGTTCTTTTTGTGTGGTTATGATGATTATTATTGCAGAACGGTGTCCGAGGGTTTATGCTCGACATGTACGACTTCGAAAACGATATCTGGCTTTGTCACTCTTTCGATGGAACGTGTTTTAATGTCACCGCTTTCGTAAGTTTTTAATACGTTCTTTCTTGCCTTACGTATTCTACACGAAAACGTTTGTGATTTGTGTGCGAGTGTTTTGTGGTGTACTATGGCAGCAACCGGTGGTTAACGTTCTAAAGGAGATTCAAGTGTTTCTAGAGAATAACAAGGACGAAGTTGTAACGATCATTATCGAAGACTATGTGAAATCTCCCAAGGGTCTCACTAAAGTGTTTAATGCAGCAGGGCTACAAAAGTTCATGTTTCCAGTGACTAGAATGCCCAAAAATGGAGGGGACTGGCCAACGCTTGACGATATGATACAACAAAACCAAAGATTGCTTGTCTTCACATCCGACAGAAGAAAAGAAGCAACCGAAGGAATCGCATATCAATGGAAGTACATGGTTGAGAATCAATGTGAGATCCCTATATGAATATGTAATGCATAACATATTGTATGAACATATTTATGTTAATGTTTTGAAAAATATTCGTAGATGGAAATGGAGGGTTGAAGGTAGGAGCGTGTCCAAACAGAGCTCAATCAGCACCAATGAGCGATAAATCGAAATCTCTTGTTCTTGTTAACCATTTTCCAGATGCTCCAGATCTGGTAGTAGCATGTAAACAGAACTCTGCTCCTCTGCTTGAATCCATCAAGGCATGTTACCAAGCCGCGGGACAACGTTGGCCTAACTTCATAGCAGTCGATTTCTACAAGGTATTTCTATTTATACTATATATAATAGTCTTATTACAATCCACTATAACTCTAAGTAACACTTTGTGTGTCTCTGGTTCAGCGAAGTGATGGTGGAGGAGCTCCGCAAGCGGTTGATGTTTCAAATGGCAATCTGATATGCCATTGTGATAATTTTGCAGCATGCAAGGTCGTTTTCTTGATCCGTTTTTGTTTAAAAAAAGTCTGAAGTCGTCGTGTAAATTCATGCTGTTATTTAAAATCTACAATATAATTTGCAGGCCAATGGAGAGTGTGGATAGCAAGCAAGACTGAGCCATGGGAGGCAACTTCCTTGAACAAAGGCTTTGGCTATTTACAAAAAAAAAAAAAAAAAAAGTAACGTGATGTGCCCTTTATTTTATAATAACACATGGTTCAACTTGTTTCTTTTTACACTAGTTGCCAACTATTAGAGAAAATATCATCTCAAACTGATTTTCACACAAAAAGGAACCACACAGCTTGAGTAAATCCATTTAAGCAGCTCCAAAGCTTATATAAAAACACATAGCTACATGTAAGATGTTGAGAGGATTTGTATGAGAATTGATATCGATCATGTTTGTCTTTGCTTTTCTCTAATCTATATTATTAAAAAAGAAGTACCCATATAAAATACCTCTTAGTTTTCACTTTTATTTACAATAGCATGCCACTGAAGTAATTAAATGAATTTATATGTAAATAATCATTGTCTTTTCCTATTTATTAAACAATTTCCTAAATCAATTTTAGCTTAATTTTCGTGTTTAATATATTCCCTAAAATAAACTAACTGATTTTTAGGAATATTCATATTTAAAATCGATTTTAACAATATTAAATTTGTATAATGTTACCATTAATTATTTTGAACAAAATTCAAGTTTAAATTCGATATTAAAAAATTATGAATATTCCTAAAATATATGTTTAACTTAGCATTATTTATTTTGAACAATAAGATTTTAAATATATTTAAACTACTTATAAACAACATGAAATATTTATAACTGAATATTATTTTAATATAATTAAATCTCACCTAAGATTATATATTTTTCAAGAATTTCTAAAATATATGTTTTACCATTTTGGTTGCTATTAATTATTTTCAACAAGAAAATTTAATACTGAAATTGAAATAGTGAATTACTTGTAAAACAAGGTTTAATGTTTATAACCAAATATTCTTTTTTATAACGTATCTAAATCTTATCATATTATCTATATATGATCAAAATATTTAAATTCTTTTTACATTTGGCAAACAATTTCATGTTACAAGAAATATTATTCAAACTATCAATAAATCAATATTAATTTTTCAAAAGTTTAATAATGGACACGAATCACTATTTTTACATCACATAAACTATCCGATTGTTGTGTTTATAAAAATTTAGAAATATGATAAATATTTAAAAATATTAACGGATAGACATTTAAATAATATTCATTTATATAAAAATGAAATAAATACCCGTCCGGTCGGACGGGTCCAGCTCTAGTTACATATTGAGTATAGTGGGTGGTCAACTTGTCACCAGCATTTGCTGCTTCTTTATTCAAAAAGTGATAGAAAATTAGATTTTTGTCTAGATTCTACATGTTGGATACTAAAACAAAAATATAATAATGAAACTGATGGATAGTACTGAATGTTTATATATATATGAAGTAGATACGGTAACAAAGATATTGCATGGTTCAGAAAAATGAGAATCAAATACACCAAGGCTTTAACTGGTGACCACCAAAGGAATAATAGGAACAACTAGGAAAGGAATGAAGAGGAACAAAATAATAGGAACACTTGTTCCATGTTGTTCCTCCCCGAATTTGATAAGGAATGATTTTGTTCTTTGATTCCTTAAATTAAAAGGAATGAGAAGGAATATTGAGGAAAAATTATTCCTTATAAATGGTGTCAAATTTAAGAAATGAAGAGGAATTAACTATTATGATTCCTTATAAATGGTGTCAAATTTAAGGAATAAAGAGGAATTAACTATTCCCACACATTCCTTTGGTCACCAGTTAAAGCCCAAAAGAAGAAAGTGTACTACAAAATGAAAGATGCGTAAACTGTTGTAAAATAGAGGAACGTTTGATTCGTAACTACACAACAAATGCATTTATTCATTTATATTTGGAAACCACAAATACATCGATATACGTATAAACATGATTTAGAAAAGGTTATCGGTTCCGAACCCCGTCGGGGGTAAGTACCCCGTAAGACACCGGAGAAGAAGCTTGAGCTTCTTTCACCTCCAATCGCTCTTGATCCAGTTTAACCCCGTTTGGATTCTTACCACAAGGGATCAGATACATAGACTTGAGATCAGGGCAAGTCTGTCTCTTCATAAAGAAGGTAGCACATTCCGTTGCCGTTTTCTGGTTTGGAAGATCAAGTATACAGTTCATACGAACGTCGAGAATGTTTCTCTTGATGAGTTCTCTACATTTTGGACCGGCCTGAGTGAAGTAATTGTAGGAGAGAGAGAAGTTTTTGAGACTGGAAAGCTCGCATACAATCTCTGGTATGGTTCCATAGAATTTGTTTCTGGCTAAATTGAGTTGTTCCATCTTGGCTAAGCAACCGAAAGAGTATGGTATTAGACCGGTTAGCTGATTAAACCCAACATCAAAGACAGTGGCTCGGTTTAGCTTTCCAATTTGGTAGGGTAAACACCCGGTTAGCTGATTATTCAAGAAAAGGACTTCTTGTAGGTACTTGATGTTGCCTATGCTGGCGGGAATTTCACCCGTGAACCTTAAATCACATCACCAAAAAAAAAGAGAAAAAAAATAAATGATTTAGCTACCTACCAAAACACATACAGAATAGTAGCTGTTAGTAGGGACACACAAACAATCTTGAAATTAACCGGTAAAATAATTAAGAAAAGTACACAAAGATAACAATAAAATATATATTTATTTTAAAAATAACACACAAAAAGTCCAAAATAACATTAGTTAAAAATCATAAATACTTTTTTATTTGAGTTTAGATATATTGACTAAGGTTTGTGTTTAGTATTTAAAGATAGGGATAAAAGTTCAGGAGTTTAAAGTAATTTGTTCACTTTAACTTTTAATAATTGAAGTTATTTTATAGTTTTTTTTTTCTTATGTGCTATTTATCGTAATTTTGTTTTGTGTTGTTATCTAAATCATATTAGTCCAATAATTAACTCCACTGGATTATTTACCAAATAAAAGAAACTTAAATAAATCTGAAAGTTAACCTGTTGTTGGCGAATGTGAGATAAAGGGCAGTGATGGAGCCAAGATTGGATGGAAGTTTCTGAACAAGATTGTTGTTGTTGATGAACAAGACGTCAAGATCAAGATTAAAGACCTGAGGAGGAACACAGCCTGAGAAAGTATTGAACCTGAGATCAAGAAACGTGAGATCTTTAGCTTTCAAGACAGAAGCCGGGAAGTCTCCGGTGAGTTTGTTGTTGCTTAGATCGAGCTCGTATAAGTATTTCAAGTTGCTGACTTCAGGCACAGAGCCTAAGAAGAAGTTGGAGTTTGCGTGAAAGATGGTGACTGTGTCTAGCTTGTCTAGGAAGTTATGTAACACGAGTTTCTTGCCGTAGAAGTTATAACCGTTAAACTGGATGCTCGCGAGTGCCTTATTAGTTGTATTTGGGAATATTGCGCATTCAAGTCCGAGGTATTTGTCTTTGTTGCAAATGTCGGTGCCATTCCAAGTCTTAAGAATATGCTTTGGATCGCGTGTCACTAGGTTCTTGAAAGCTTGGAGGACTGGGAAGACTTTCTCTAGTAGTGGGCTCTCAAAGCCAAGTAGCGGCAACGGTGGCTGGCCCGGCGGCTTTGGCGGCGATTTACCTCCTTTGGGCGGTTTAGGCGGTGAACGTGGCCGCTGTGGCGGTGGAAGTGTTGGTGGTTTTGGGGATTGTGGTGGAGGAGGGCATGGAGGAGTAGGAGGTGGAGGAGGGCATGGAGGAGGAGGAGGTGGAGGGCAATCTTCTGGTTCAGGTTCCGGTTCTGGTGAAGGTGACAGCGGTGGATTGCCACCGCCTCCAATGATGATTTCTAAGGATTTTCTTTCGGTGATGTGGGTGTCTCCGGTAGGTAGAGTGAAATGGACAAGTGAGAGTGAAAGAAGGAGAAGGAGAAGTGAAGCCATTGGTTTGAAGAAATGATGAGGTGAGTATTGAGGATAAGCTTAGGACTACATATAGAGAGAGATTCTTGAAGCATAAAGAATGAGAAGACTCATAAGAATTTTGAGAAGTCAATGGACATCTTTTTGGAGGTAATTGTTGAATTAAAAAAGAAAATGAAAGATAATGTTACCAACTTTATGTGTATGGTTATATTTTCAGCTAAATAATATCTTTAGGTTGGAATTGATCAGGTCGGATGTAAACGGATTATGCCCATTTCAGTATCCAATATCTAAAGGTATGAAATTGCAAATTGCTGTTGATGATTAAAAAGGCTGAATAAGATGGGAAAATTTGGAAAAATAAATTTATATGAGATTTCAATTTGAAATCTACATTATTATTTAAACTTTTTGAAAACTACACTTTCCTATATATAAATTAACTAAATTACCCAATCTGGATATTTAATAAGTCAGTTTCTTATTTGGCGCGCTCACATTGACTCTTACACTGATTGATTACTATGATACCCTTGATGAATATATTTAAATAGTATATTTAAATAATATTATAATTTTATGTTTAGTTTCTTTTTTAAAACATTCCAAATAACTTTTATAATAAAAAAGAAAAAATTATTAAATTTAAAAACGAAAATATATGTTTATATAATATGATTTCATTAAAAAGGAAAGTTCACAAAATAGTAATATACTATCAAAATAGTAAAATAGTATTATTAATTTTGTATTTAGTTTCCTTTTTAAAAATTTCCAACTAAAATTTATAATAGAAAAAACATCTATAAAATTTAAAAGGAAAAATTAAAAA